CCTAAGGTGGCGGGTTCGAATCCAACCCAGACCCGCCAAAAACAACAATGACGGCTGCAACCAAAAAATAGCTGGGCGTTGTGGCAGGCGCCTGTGGTCCCTGCTACTTGGGAGGCTAAGGCAGGAGACTTGCTTGAACCCAGGAGTTGGAGGTTGCTGTGAGCTGTCATGCCACAGCACTCTACCCAGGGGGACAGCTTGAGACTCTGTCTCAAAAAAAAGAAAATAAAATAAAGTCTCCAATCAGTTGACTTTAAGACAGTGATTATCCAAGATTGAAATGTCCCAATTAGGTGAGTTCATTAGGTGAGACTGTGCAAGCTCAGCGCCTGTGGCTCAAGCGGCTAAGGCACCAGCCACATACACCTGAGCTGGTGGGTTCGAATCTAGCCTGAGCACGCCAAACAACAATGATGGCTGCAACCAAAAAATAGCTGGGCATTGTGGTAGGCACCTATAGTCCTAGCTACATGGGAGGCAGAGGCAGGAGAATCACTTGAGCCCAGGAGTTGGAGGTTGCTGTGAGCTGGGATGCCACAGCACTCTATGGAGGGCGACAGCTTGGGGCTCTGTCTCAAAAAAAAAGACTAGGTCAACTCTGAGCACCCAATTCACAGAGAGAGAGGGACTCAATGTGAGTCTTTGGACTTTGAAAGTGAAGAATTCCTGTGGCAAAGAGTGTTGGTGGCAGCCCTCCCCCACCTACCCTGACAGATGGTAATCAAACAGGGACCTCATTCCTACAACTGCCAGAAACTGAATTCTGCCCATGGGCTCCATGTAAGCTTAGGGGAGGACCCCAATCTCAAGATGACGGCACAGCTTTGTGAAACCCTGAACAGAGAACCCATCCACACCATGCCTGGATTTCTGACTAAGGAGCACTAAACAAATAAATGGCCCTTGTTTAGAGACAATACATTTGTGGTAATTTAGTATATAGAAATAGAAAATTAATACACAAGCTCAATAGATAGGCACGTAACTTTTTTAATTTGAATGAATTTATGAACTTGTATTCAATTATTTGCATGAAATAAAATATTTCCTAACTATTTCAGTATGTTTAAGTTTATGATTTTTAGGTGATTCAATTTTACTGAAAACATATTAATTCATTCAACAATAATTAACTTACTCCTATTATGTACCATGTATGTCTTTCCACTCTGGGGATATAATTTTCACCAAAATAGCCCAAAGCCTCTGTGTTCATGTGCCTTACCTTCCAGAGGCTTTACAAGAGTGAGGTCAACCCATTGGAGCGCTGTAAGTGAAAAATAACAGAATCTGACTCTCAGCAACAGACCGGTGACCACTGTGAGGGAGAACAGTCATGAGCACCAGGTGAGGGGACAAAGCTAGTGCCATAGTTCAGGAGTCAGAGATGGTGGGACTAAGGGAAGAAGGGGCCTGAGGGATGAGAGGGAGCAGAGATACATGTGCCATATGCAGCAGGAGGGGCAGAGGCATAAGAGGGACAGAGGGAAGGGCTAGAGAAGCAGGAGGTGAGGAACCAGAGCAGAGGGAAAGAGTCGTAAAGCAACTGAATGCCCACATTTAAATACAGTGTTTTATAGATATTTAATACAGAGTTTAGAAGGGTGCTCTTTGCTTTGGGTAATTAATACATTTGTGGGGCTGCCTAAGAGCTAATTGCCTCCTAGGGTGAATTACATTAAAAAAATACCAAGTGTCCCCTCCAAAATATGCACACAGCTCAGATGTGAATAATTCATAAAAGTAGGCATTGCATGAACACTGCAGAAGAAAATTTTGACTAAGCACAGTGCAGCTTTGAAGTGATTGTAAAGTCCTACAACTCCTGGTTGAAATACACAGTAACAAATTATGCTTCTTTGTATGAGGGGATGTCCTGCACTCACAAGTACAGACTAAGGGCTATGGAATAGAGATAATTTTAAAATACATCAACTCAGAGTCCAAGATACATAGTCTGGAAAAGTAAAACTGGGGAACTTTGTGAATCTAACTGCAATGCGTTCAGACACATTGCTCTATCAAGGGACCAACATCACTTCTGTTACAGATTAGATTTTTGATCATTCAGGGGTTACCAAGATCGTGCAAGAAGGAAACTGGCCTCTATGAGAGTCTCTATCAGGTGTGTTCAGACACAAAGTCTCCAGGTTTATAGAGAAAACCACCATCTCTACACTTCCAGTCCCAGGCCGAGCTCACTCTGGCGTTAAGTTCCCTGGGGTGAGTTTTGTTCTAGAAGAGTCCAGGTGGAGAGGAAAAGAGTAGGAAGCAGGAGTCCAGTTCAGGGAGAGGATTCGGGTCTGGAAGAGAAGGGGAAGGGGCTGGACCCACCTCCTGAGCCAGGATTCTGGGGATGGCGTGAGGAACAGTGCTCAGTGCAGGAAAAGAAGGGTCAGATCAAAGTCCCAGGTTTCGGGCGTGGAATCTCAGGGTCTCTCTCCCGAGGGCGGTGTCGGGTGTGGGAAAGCTCAGCGCTGGGGATTCCCTGTCTCCCCGCGTTTCGGTTTTCCTTCTCCCAACCCTGGTCAGGTCCTTCTTCCGGGATACTGCTGACGTAACACCACTTCTCACTCCCATTGGGTGTCGCTTTCTAGCTAAGCTAATCAGCGTCGCCGCTGTTCCCGGTTGAGTCCCAGCAGAGCTACCCGGACTCCAGGATGGGGGTCACAGCTCCCGGAACCCTACTCCTGCTGCTGCCTGCTGCCCTGGTCCTGACCCAGACCTGGGCGCGTGAGTGCGGGATCGTGATGCAAACGGCCTCTGCGGGGAAGGCGAGGGAACCACCCGGTGGGGACGCAGGACCCGGGGACCAGCGCCGGGAGGAGTGTCCGGCCGGGTCTCAGCCCCTCCTCTCCCCCAGGCTCCCACTCCATGAGGTATTTCAGTACCTCCGTGTCCCGGGCCGGCCGCGCGGAGGCCCAGTACATTGAAGTCGGCTACGTGGACGACACGCAATTCGTGCGGTTCGACAGCGACGCCGAAAATCCGAGGATGGAGCCGCGGGCGCCTTGGGTGAAGCGGGAGGAGCCGGAGTATTGGGACGAGGAGACGCAGCGCGTCAAGGACCTCACACAGAATTTCCGAATGAACCTGGAGACCCTGCGCCGCTACTACAACCAGAGCGAGGACGGTGAGCCCGGGGCCCGCGTCACAGGCCACGACCCCTCCCGTCCCACAGAGAAGCCCAGGTCCCCTCAGTCTCGGGATCCGAGACTTACTCTGAGGCTGCGGGACCTTCCTGAGACCTTAGACCCGAGAAGGGCCTGCGGACAAAATCCCCGCGGGCTGGCCGGGGTGGGGTGGGACCGGTGGGCGCTGCTGACCGCGGGGGCGGGGCCAGGGTCTCACACCCTCCAGTTGATGTACGGCTGCTACGTTGGGTCGGACGGGCGCCTCCTCCACGGGTACTGGCAGTACGCTTACGACGGCGCCGACTACATCGCCCTGAACCAGGACCTCCGCTCCTGGACCGCGGCGGACAGGGCGGCTCAGATCACCCAGCGCAAGTTGGAGGCGGAGGGTGCAGCGGAGAGACACAGAACCTATGTGGAGGGCACGTGCGTGGAGTGGCTCCTCAGATACCTGAAGAACGGCAAAGACACGCTGCAGCGCGTGGGTACGAGCAGCGCGGGGCACCTCCCACATCTCCTGTAGATCTCCCCGCTCCCAGTCCACAAGGAAGGGAGGAAAAAGGGCCCTGAGCTAAAATGATCGCCCTCCCTTTGGTCCAGAGCAGGAAGATGGCCCCTGAGTGTCCAGATCCCGAGCCACAGTGACTCAGAGGCCCCACCCTTCCCTCTGGGACAGTTAAGAAATCAAATCTTACAGCGAACATAGGGGAAAACAGTACGTGAAATACTGGTCATTGATTCTCTCTGACCCTGCAGCAGCTTTGGGCACCATGACCTTTTCTCTCCGGCTTTGTTCTTTGCCCCACTCAGTGTGTTTGGAGGTCTGATTCCAGCCCTTCCGGTCATTCAGCCTCCATTCAGGTCAGTACCAGAAGCTCTTGTTCTCCTCCTTAGAGAATGTAAGTTTTAAGGAACAGGAAATCATCCCAGACCACTGCATTCAGGCTGGTCTGGGTTTTGCACTTCCTTTCCCACTTCAGTTGTCCTGTCCCTTCTCAGGATGTCACATGAGCACTGCTGAATTTTCTGACTCTTCCCCTCAGATTCCCCAAAGACTTATGTGACCCACCACCCAGTCTCTGACCTTGAGGCCACCCTAAGGTGCTGGGCCCTGGGCTTCTACCCTGCGGAGATCACACTGACCTGGCAGCGGGATGGGGAAGACCAGACCCAGGACATGGAGCTCATAGAAACCAGGCCTTCCGGGGACAACAGAACCTTCCAGAAGTGGGCTGCTGTGGTGGTGCCTTCTGGAGAGGAGCAGAGATACACGTGCCATGTGCAGCATGAGGGGCTGCCCGAGCCCCACACCGTGAGATGGGGTAAGAAAGTGGGTGGGAATGTCATGTCTCTTCTCAAGAAAAGCAGGGGCCCTTCTAGAGCCTTTCAGCAAGTTCAGGGCTGAGGCCTGGGGTCAGGCCCCTCACCTTCCTGTCCTTTCTCAGAACCATCTTCCCAGCTCATCATCCTTGTGGCCATCATTGCTGTCCTGGTTGTACTTGGAATTGTGGTCGCTGCTGTGATGTGGAGGAAGAAAAGCTCAGGTAGGGAAGGGGTGAGTGGCAGGGTCTGTACTTTTTTTTTTTTTTTTTTTTTTTTTTGAGACAGAATCTTACTATGTCACCCTCGGTAGAGCGTCATGGTGTCACAGCTTACAGCAACCTCTAACTCTGGGGCTTAAGCAATTCTTTGGCCTCAGCCTCCCAAGTAGCTGGGACTACAGGTGCCCACCACAATGCCCAACTATATTTTGTTGTTACAGTTGTCATTGTTGTTTAGCAGGCCTGGGCCAGGTTCAAACCCTTCTGCCTTAGTGTATGTGGCCAGCACCCTAACCACTGAACTACAGGTGCTGCCAGGATCTGCATTTTTTTGTTCCTCTTGGGTTTCAACTACAGACAGCAGGGTGCCCTGCCCTATAACTGGAGGTTCCACCTACATACACCTGCTTTCCCAGCTGGGGTCCCTGTGTGCCAACACTTATTCTTTTGTGTAGCACATGTGACAATGAAAGATAAAGTTTTAATGTGATGATTATGGTGATGGGGACCTAATCCCCAGTGGTCACAGGTCAGAGACAAAAGACTTTGCTCAGAACAGATCTCCAAGAAGGCAGCTGATCCACTTTTTCCTTCTCCTGTGATTCCTGATCCTTCCCTGGCTCTTCACTCACAGTTCTGGAAAGTTCTCTGGGATCCAACACTAGGGGGTTCCTCTAGGACCTCATGCCCCTGTCTCCTCCCAGGCCTCTCACAGTGCACTTTCTTCCCACAAATGGAAGAGGAGGGAGCTACTCTCCAGCTGCAAGTATGTATAGCGGGCAGTGATCTGTGAGGCCTTTGGGATAGTGTAGATAGGAGCCCATGGGAGCTCCCAGCCACGTAATTCCTCCTGTACCCACATCTTCTGTGGGCTCTGACCAGGTTCTGTTTTGTTCAACTCCAGGCAGGAACAGTGCCCAGACATCCTGTGTGTCTCTCACAGCTTATAAAGGCGAGACCCAGGGAGTGTGATATGAGAGTGGAGTGGGACAGAGGGGACACAACTGGGCTATGGAGATTCTTTGATGGGACATTTTGAGTGTGTGGTAGGTTGTTCAGTGTCCCAGTTGCTGTACCTAACCTGAATTTGTTCCTTATTTTTTTCTATAGCCTGAGACAGCCGCCTTGTGTGGCACTAAGTGTTCACGCCTCCCTTTGTGACATCAGAAGCCTCTGACTTCTCTTTCTGCAGATGCTTCTGAATGACTCTGCATCCCTCTTTGCCTAATGTGAGGAAGCAGGGAGGCCAACATAGCACCATGTCCACCATGACCTCTTCTCCTACATTGACCTGTGCCCCTTCCTGATTATTTTTCCTATTACAGAAAAATAGGGGAAAGATGGGGGTGAGATGTCTCCATCCCTGTCTCAACTCCATGGTGCACTGCGCTGCTATTCTACTGAAATTAATAATTTGAATATAGGTTCGGCACCTGTGGCTCAAGCAGCTAAGGCACCAGCTACGTACACCTGAGCTGGCAGGTTCCAATCCAGCCCAGGCCCACCAAACAACAATGACGGCTGCAACCCAGCATTGTGGCGGGTGCCTGTAGTCCCAGCTACTTGGCACCCGCCTACTTGGGAGGCAGAGGCAGGAGAATCACTTGAGCCCAGGAGATGGAAGTTGCTGTGAGCTGTGATGCCTCAGCACTATACCCAGGGAGGCAAGGAGATAGTTTGAGACTCTGTCTCAAACAAAAAAAAAAAAAATAGAATTTGAATATAAATTTGTTTTCTCAAATTCTTCCAATGAGAGGGGCAAGAGAAGAAATAAAAGGAAGACCTGAGAACCTTCCAGAATCTGTGAGTTTGCTGTGCTGAGTCTTTTACAGATGGGGAAGGGAGAAAGCTGTGAGGAGCCAAGTATAGACACATGTCCTGTATCTGGCAGACAAACCTCTCGTACTGACATCAATGATGTCTATGCTTTTCTCCCCAGTGCTGTGTGTGCCCTCCCTCACACACACACACACACACACCTGCCATGAGTGGGGGGGGCCTGTGCCCAGTTGGTACTCAGTCCATCATGGGCTTTCTGTGGTCATTTCTTGGCAGGGTCATCTTCACTGCTCCACTGTCCATGTCTCTTCAGTAAAACCTTGTCCCAGCAGGACCTATAATCACAGGAGCTGACACACAGCCAAGGTGGGTCCTGCACACAGGTAGAATTTTCACACTGTCCAGCTCTTGTCCTCCTTCTAAGGCTCTTTCGTAGACAGCATTTTCCATGTTTTCCCCAACCTATTTATTATTTTATTTTAAATTTATTTTGAATTTTTGTGGATACAGAATGGTGGTCTGTTATTGTGGGGTACATGTGATATTTTGATGCAAGCATACAATGTGTAATGATCAAATCTGGGTAATTAGGATATCCATCACCTCAAACATTTTTCATTTGTTTTTGTAGGCAACATTCTAAATTAGATTAAACTAAATCTTCTCATTATTTTGAAACATATAATAGATCATTGTATTTTTAAAAATGTGTTTTTTGTGACAGGGTCTCACTGTGTTGCATGGACTAGAGTACAGTGGCATCATCTTAGGTCACTGCAGCCTCAAACTCCTGGGTTTGGACATTCCTCCTGCCTCACCCTCTGAGTAGCTTACATTACAGATGCTGACACCAGGCCCAGCTAATTTTTTAAAATCTTGTTTGTAGAGATGGAGCCTCACTCTTGTCCAGGTTGGTCTTGAACCCATGGCCTGGGCACATTGAGCCTAATAACACTTGTCACTCTATTGTGCTACTGAATACTGGGTCTCATTTCTTGAATCTGTGTTTTTGTACCCATTAATCAACCCTGTTCGGTTCCCCCTCCACACTACCCTTCCCAGCCTCTGATAACCACCATCCTGTTTGCTACCTCCATGAATTCAGTTTTTTTAGCTCTCACTTGACAAGAGAGAAGACATAACATTTATCTTTTTGTGCCCTGCGTATTGCACTTAATATATCATCCTCCAGTTCTATCTATGTCGCTGCACTCAAATTTTTTAAAGGAACCAGATTGTGGAATTAGCAGAGAGGAGGGAGCCCATCACTTCTCATCTTAGGTAAATTTTCTCTTTTGCTCTGCTCCCCACCCTTAGTTCTAGAAATCTTAGTACTGACTCCATTCCAAACTCACAGATTTCTAAAGCGGGCTCAAAGTTAGGTTTATACTTGTTAGCAAAATTGGAGCTAGAGGCAAGGATTGTTCTTTCTGAGGAGAGAAATATCACTATGTGCTGTAGTGTGCAGGAGGGTCAGTGTGGAACGGAGGGTGAGAGAAGGCACACACAGCACTGGGGAAAAAAGCACAGGCAGCATTGACGTCAGTGTGAGAGGTTTGTCTGTTAGATACAGGACAGTTGTTTTTGCATCTAGGAAACATTATTCAAGTAAAAACCAGAAAAATTACAAGCTTTATGTAGCACATGTTCTAGTGAGAGGACACAGACTATGTTCTGTGAGCAGAGCAAATAAGGAAATTGTGTATATTAGAAGATGGTAAAGTGCTACTGGGAATGTGACCCAGAGGGTCTGTGGGGACAGGGATGGTGGTTATTGTGCTGGGTGGTCAGTGTAGGCCTTGTCACATAGGCGATCTTTGAGGAAAGATTTGAAGGACGTGATGAATTATCAATGAAGATTCTGGGGACATTCTTTCCAGGCATAGGAAACCTTCAGCTCAAATTCACTGGAGCAAGAAGGTGTCAGTGTTCTGGGAAAAAGAGGAGGCCAGGAGAGCTGGACAGAGAGTCACTAAGATGAGGTCATAGGTGGGGCTGGGAGCAGGTAGGACTAGAGGGTGTGAGAAGGGTGTGACCTTTACTGTGATTGAGGTGGGGAGTTAGAGGGCAGTTTTGAGAAGAATAGGGATGTGGTATGACTTCTCTTTTAATAGGATCTCTGGCTGGTATGTTGAAAACTGAACTGAGAGGTGAGGGACAATGGAGGAGTAGGGAAACATCAGGGAAGGAGGACAGGATTCCAGACTGCAAATACCAGTGTGAGCAGTGGCAATGGAGATAAGTGATAGGTTCTGGATACATTTTCAAGATGGACTTCACAGCATTTTTTAATACATCTGGGTGTGGGTAAGAGGAGTCCCAGAGGACACTCATAGCTGTGTGTTGTGTCAGCAGAAGGATAGAGCTGCCATCAGTGGAGATAGGGGCAACCCTGGGAGGGATGTGCTTAAGGAAGGGGCTTCCCAGGCATTTGGTGGAAGAGATGTCCACTAAGAGAGGAGGAGAGGGTGCTGGGGAGGTGGCTGGACAGACATATCTGGAGCTTAAGAGAAATGTATGGGCTGGAAAATGAATTTGGGGGTGACACCATATAATTAATATTTAAAGCCTTGAGCATGGATGAGAGCACAAGAGACTAATGGGAACAGGGATGAACCCTGGACCTCCAGGGCTGAGGATGTGATCCAACCACATGCCCAGAGCAGACTGCATAGTTCTGACACCACATCAAGAAGGCATGTAGACCATGGAGTCCCAGACTTTACTGTGTGCCAGAATCCCCCCAACATGGTGCTGAGACACAAACAGGAGTGGAGCATGAGATCCTGTGTTCCTGACAAGGGTGGTGCTGATACTGCTGGTCTTCATATCATACTTTAGTAGCAAGATTGCAGACCAGGATCCCCAGGTGTGTGTGCATTCACCTCATTTATAGGGCTTATTTAGTAAGTGAGTCCTTAGTCTTGGCATAATACTCTGAGAGGGGTTCTGGGAAGAAGCCTGAGTATTTTCTAATAATCCTAGTGCTCAGCCAGAGTAGCAAGCCCTGAAGCCAGTGGTCAGAGAGTGACCAGGCTGGGTTGTCAAACCCTTTTTAAACATCCTTTACCCTTCAGAAAGTAAAAGGAGCACATTTATCATTTATTGTGAGATGTGATGTTGAGAGATTTGAATCATTCTATTTTCAGGTAAGGCCAGGCAGAGGATTCTGGTAGTGACTCTCAGCTCTGCATAAAGAACATCTCTGAATGCTGTGCTCAGAC